CCATTACAACCTTTGAATATTGTATGACTGGACCACAGAAATTTCGTGTTTGGAGGCACCACCAAAGACTGTACTACGTGACCTAACTCGGCTAAGGTGGAAACAAAAAATGAGATAGTCATTTTAGACGCCCAAAACACTGCGCATTTTGTTTATTGACTTGGCTCCTTGCGCAATGTGCTCTTTTTCGTGTAGAATATGTTTCTGAATAAGCTTATCGAACAAAATTCTCATACATCCCAGCGGAAGTCTACGTTGCCTTATACTCTGACGATTTCCAGTGCAGTAGCAGTCCTATTTTTGGACAGTCGATTAGGGACACCGAAGGCTGCAGATGATTTGCTGATATTTGAAAATCACCCTAAGAGTCAGCGGACTCTACCGTTACCAAAACTAGATGGTGATTTTACTGAATAAGTAGTCCCTTGACACACAGAAAATAGTAAAGGTATTATACCGTGCTCCCGACAAAGGTACTAGCCAACAGCCCAAACACGTTTTTCGCCGATATTTCGCCGCTGCGTGACACAACTGCAAGGGGTTCGGCTCCTCAGTGGTTCCCCCAGCATTCTCCAGATGGTTTCGTACAAATTTATTAGGTACTGTCCTGTCTGTCAACATGTCACCTTACGGAAACCTATTCTCCTAACGTCTGTACCAAAGAATCTTTTTTTTCCCTAACCAGCCGCAGTTGGAAAATGCAAAAACGGAAACATTACACTACATGTTTGCAGGACACTTTCGGAAACTGTAATAAAACATCATGAGCTTGGCCTTATGTTATAATTCGGGCAACACAAATTATTGGGGACCAGCTGGGCCCCGCCACGCGTTGCTGTGGCTCAATGTGATGATATGGGGCGTGTTTCGGATATGTTTAATTTTATAATGTTTGTGAGTATACAAGGCATTTTTTCTGTGCAGACATACAGATTTTCTGGTTTGTCGTACCTGGAGCACGCAAAATATGGTTGGACATGTGAGAAACAATCCGTTTGCAGATTCAAACCGCACAGTTCTAGAGATTTACCCTGAGCTTTGTGGATCGAGATGGCAAGTGGCAATCGAATCGGCAATTACAGTCACCTAACTTGAAATAGCATATCAGTTGGACGGAGTGGAATGCCATGAATCAGGACATGTTCAACTTTGAAAGGTCTCCGAGGATATCTCTTAGAGCATTTTCCCTCTAGCATGCCGGGGGTGGGGTAGAGAATTGGAAGTCAGTGCACCTCAAGGTCCTTGAATCATATTCCTCGCCACAACTTCATGCAAATCATTGTCGACGTCAGCGTCAGGTAATTCAGCGCATATTGCATCGGCGATTTCGTTGAAGGTGATCTTGTTACACAGCCAGATCCCAGCATGTGCGTGGGACAATCCCCATCTTTTACCAATCCCCCAAATACATTCGGCAGTGCACAGACCCAAATACCATGAAGTCCGTCAGCTATTTCAGTTTCTTCTTAAAAACACGTGCTGTGATGTCATACCTATTTACCGGCGATAGCCTAGGAAGTAAGAGCTGATAAATATCGCCCCAAGCTGGATTGCACTTGAATTTAGTGAGTCGATCTGGACGCCCTGTACTGAAAAACATATGCAATTGCACCTCGAGCATATGGCGTGGATTGCCTGTGCATGTGGACGACAAAATCGTCAGTCTCAAAACGTTAGTTGTATTACCGTCGTTTACAGCTGCATCATGCAAAGGAATACATTCTTCAGAGCGCAGCTTGGTCTGATTCAAGCGAATAAAAAGCAGGCGATCTGTTTCGATTTTATGCACACACTTCCACACTGTAGTGGTGAAACAATTGACGGCAATTTAAAAGGGGATTACCCACATTCTGTGGCATCATAAGTCGGTAGGAATAGTAGTTCATTGGGCTGCTTTTCATGTGCGTTTCCTTGTCACTGACTAGATCTATCATCTTAGCGTCGGAGTAATATCCACCGGCACCATCCCCAAACGTAAATGGTTACTGCACGGCGGCGTAGCGCCGATGGGTTTCTGCAACTCTTGTCATTTGATCGTTTCGCCAATGAAGAACAATATCACTACGATTAAATCGGTCTCCAACCGTAGCAATTGCCACTTCATCTATAGTAGGGACATTGAATCGTCGTCCAAATTGTTCAGCAGGCGTCTTCCCTGCATGAATTGCAATCTTGTGCGTATCAGATAGCATCATGGTAATTGCGGTTTTGAATAAACGCAGAAAGTTGGTGTGTTCACGAAGAAGCTCTTGCAGTTGAGAAACGATGAGCCGTTTTATTCCGGTGGAAATTCCACAGCGTGCATTCCATTCGTCATTGTGATCACCAATGAAGTACATTTATAGAAATTTGTGGGGACTGAAGAAGAGAGCCGACTCTATGATAACTTTGTCCTTTCATTTTGAAAGTCTTTCAGCCACTGTCAGCTTGTACTGTTCATTCTGTTATGAAAGAAGCAGACCAGAAACTGTAGTACGCGGTGGCCGTGACCGCAACCGGGCTTCCGCAAGCCGACATTGGGTGACAGTCCCATTATGTGGGTTGTGCGGGGGGAGGGGGAAGGCAGCTTCGTTAACCGCATCCAGTCATCACGCCCGAGAATCCCAACGGAAACGGTGACAGCCCCATTATGTGGATAGTGTGGAGCAAGTTCAAGTGGAGCCCATGAGCAGCATGTTTTTTTTGCTGCAAGGTGGGTGGTTTTCCTAACTGTCCATATTGCATAGGCCCAGGTGGGGAGGGGGGCGTTCTCAAGTATCTGCAGGGTGGGTGAGCACGGCCGTCGGGGAGAGCACGTGCGTTTGAGCGAATGTCGGTCAAGTAGCTCGTGGGGGGTGCACGCGTGTCCACGTGGATGCAGGTCAAGTGGCCGCAGCAGGTGGCATTGTTATGCCCGAAAAAATCCAGGCGGGCCATCTGCATAATCATGAAGCTAAGCGGAAAAACCCAACCCAATGCGCTGGCTGTGTTGTGTCAAAATTTCAGCGCAATCGGTGCAGTACATTCGGAGATTACTTATAGCACACCAAAAAAACCTTCCATTTGTATATATATATATATACATATATATAGATATGTCAAGTGGGCGTTTGACCCTCACTGTTGTGGTTAGGATCTCACTCGATCCCATTCTGTCCTCCCGCCAGCTTGCTACTGGCGACAACGAACGCTGTGTCAGAGGACACATACCACATATAATACATGAGCAGCTCGCTAAGAGTGCAACAGGCCAGACGCAGACAGCTGTTTCACGGTCGTTACCGATCATCAGTACGTCATAGGCCTATGACGTACTGATGATCGGTAACGACCGTGAAACAGCTGTCTGCGTCTGGCCTGTTGCACTCTTAGCGAGCTGCTCATGTATTATATATATAGATATGCATTGGCAAGGCATGCTAAACTGACATTTGTAAACTTTCTTGTGTTTATGCTATTATATTTGCTCATTTCAAAGGAAGAAGGGGCGTTCACTGGGAGGGGTTTATTTGGGGTCCGACGTTTCGATTAGTTTATTCGTCTACCCATCTTCAGTGACTGGGAAGTCCTGTGCACAGCTCCCCTTATGATGGCGCCCTTTGTCCAATGTGTGATCCGCCAATGCCGCCCTTGTGGCTGCATCCAACCCGCATGTCACCGTGACCTGAACCGCCCCCGTCGGTCGCGGAGATGACTGACGGCCCCGATTGTCCCGCGCCGTGACTGTCCCCCGCTAAGAAGGTTCGTAAAGTCAGATAGGGGGGAGGAAAATCGATGTGGCGGTTGACAGAGCGGTCGGTGGACATCCAGGCTTCTTACACTTACCTTGCTGTATGATCGCCGCCCCGGCCCACCATCTCAACGACGTCAAAGTTAAAGATGTATCCCATTTGCGCGGCATGGGTTGCTACCTCCGATTTTGGGTCCAACCTTCGCACGGCCAACTTATGCCCGTGCATTCGCGTTTGCAGCCGTCGGCCGGTTTCCCCAACGTAGTTGCATCTTCCGCAGCTGCATTGAAGTCGGTAGACAACGGCCGACACCTCCTGCTTAGGGATCGGATCTTTTGGCCGCATAATTTGCCGGCGGATTGTTGAGTCAGGTCTGTGGGCAACACCTATTCCGAGTGGCGCGAGTGATCGAGCCACGACTTCGGAGACCCCTTTAATGTACGGAATGCTCCGCCATGCGTTTGACTGACTATGCTGTTCGTTCAGTTTCTTTGGCTGCCTTCGGCTCCGTTCAGTGAATGCCCGCAGATAGCCATTGGCTATGAAAAGTTCTCAAAGGCGCTTTATCTCGTCCAGTTTGGCGGCTGGAGTGCTGCAATGAGTTCCCACCCATCGGTACAGCGAGCGGACACAGCTTCGTTTGTGTTGTAGAGGGTGATTGCTGTTGTAGCTGAGCATTTGCAGCGTGTTCGTCGGTTTTCTGTAGACCGACTTCGCTAGTTCGCCATTTGGTTGGCGGCAGACGATAATATCCAAGAATGGAAGTTTGTCCCCTACTTCCTCTTCCCTCGTGAACTTTAGATCGGGAATGATTGAATTCATTACTTTCGCATAGTAGTTGATTTTATCCTGGTCGATGATTACAAAGTTGTCATCAACGTAGCGTGCCCAAAACTGGGGTTTGTACTCCTCGAAGAGTCGTCTCTCGAGTTTTTTTAGAACCATCTCGGCAATGAGCCCGGAGATTGGTGAACCCATTGGCGTGCCCTTGATCTGCTCGTATGTGGTCTCTTCGAAGGTAAAGAGGGTCTTCAGGCAGTGCCCCATGAGTTCTATGAGATCCTGAGCCGTAGGCTGGCCATCGCCCCCGTCGTAATTTTGACGTAGCAGGTCACTGAGCGTTTCGACCGCAAGGGCCTGTGGTATGGACGTGAAGAGTGAGACGACGTCAAAAGACACCATCCTTCCATTCGGTTCGATCGTGACTGCCCTTATTTTGTCAATGAATTGTTCTGCTGAGTGCACCGTTGTTTGTGAGCCTGCAGTTAGGAATCTTAGCTTCTGAAATAGTCAGCTTGCAAGCCCGTATATGGGTGTGCCTCGGAGTGAGACGATAGGACGGAGGGGAACATCTGGCTTGTGTACTTTTGGAAGACCGTAGAATCTCGCCATAGTGGTTTCTGTGGGCTTTGCCATATACCAGTCTTTGACGGTGATGACCTTGTCCTTTTTTAGTCGAGCCAGAATTCTGTTAACCTTTGCCACTAGAGACTTTAGACTGGCGGCGTCGCTGACTTTATAGGACTCCTGATCGTTGAGGAGCAGGAGGGCTTTGTGTCGGTAGTCTACCTTGTCGAGGATAACGGTTGACCGGCCTTTGTTAGCAGACAGAATAACTATTTCGGTGTACACTTTCAGCTCTCTTAGGGTCTTTTGTTCCTCTCTTAGAGGTGTATGGGTTTTCCGGTGTGACATGAGAAGCGAGGAGACTTGATGTCGAAGGAGGTCCTTTGCCTCGTCTGTGGCGCCGGTTTGATGAAGCACTGATTCGAAAGAAGCAATGAAGGTGACCGGGTCGGCGTCAGTTGTGTTAAAACCAGATCCACGTTGTAGATTTTTTGTTTGGGTCACAGAAAGTTGTTTTGACGAGAGGTTATGTACTGTCGTTTGTTCTGTTTCCTGGGCTTGTGCGGTCTGCAATGCCATGAACTTTACCGATAAATCCGCATCTCTGTTAGCACGTTTCTTTCGTCCCAATGCTAGTAATGTGTTCTCCAATGTGGCGGCAGTCGATTCACCACACCGGCACGTAACAAGCATCCGGAAGTTTGCAGCACTGTGTGCGTATTTCTTCAGTCGCAGGTGACAATCTTGTATGAGTACCCTTGTCATTCGTCGACTGTGGCGGAACATCGTTTGTTTAGCCAATTCCTTGTTGACTGGAGGCTTGTAGGAGAGGCATGTTGGCATAACATAGTTGGCAAGGCATCTGTGAAGGGAATGGAGCTGTGCATAGGTCGAGGCCTGTCGGAGGACAGTTTTTTCCCAACGACGAGCCAGTTGAAGCGCTTCGCGCCCGTAATTCACATCCCGGTGAACGTCCCTCCTTCTTTTGATATGCCACCTGGGAATCGCATTTTTACTACTATGGATATTTGCTCATTTGTTTGCATGGACAGACTGAATGAACATATAAAACTTGAGGTTACTCATTTGACACGAATTTTCATGCCTTCAGTCTCTCGGCTTTTCCTAAGAAAATTGTTATTTCTAACCAACGAAATGAGGATTCTTATATCTGTTCCGTTTTTTTAATTTAACGGAAGGCTGTTCATTCTTATTTGATGTCTTGATGCATAAAGTTAAACTAACATCCGATTTGCGGATGATTTTTCATTAATTTAGGCACATTTGATGTGTTAGGTTGTTACGGCGCAGCAGTGACAATGTGTGTAGTCTGCGGGCTACAATTATCAAGTTAAATGCCTGAGTGGAAGGAGACGACGGAAGGCACCAGAATGAGGGGGTTTATTGTGCACAGATCCCGGATTTGTCCTCTCAGGCGACAGTGGCCAATGGCGAAGCCAGGACTGGTGTTGACTGCGTCCAGTCATGCCTGAGGGTCACTGGGACAGTGGTGGCAGCCGCTTTTGCAGGCTCGTGGGCCAAGCTCAAGTGGTCTCCAATCGGTGTGTGTTGTATTTTCCGAGGGGTGGTGTCCCAGTGGCTTGTTTTGCTGGTTGCAGGGGGTGGCGAGTTCAAGTGGCCACATAGGCAGCTGCGGCTGTGGCGCAGGTATGCCCGAGCTGTCGGTCGTATGACTTCAGGTCAGCGCGTCAGAAACGTCTCACTGCAAGGGGGTGAATGGCCTTGAGGCAGCGAGGTCTTGGACAATGACGACAGACTGGTCATGATGGCCGCCTGCTACAAGGTCACCTATTGCGTATCTCGTGATGAAGACCTCTTTTCTTATATATCAGTGACGCAAATGATAGACATATTTACAAAACAGAGAACGATCTATTAAGTTTGATTTAAGTTATGACTTACATAACCGTTTATTTTCCCGCTTGTTAAATGGGTTTTTTCTGGTAGTAATATAATACAAATTATTTGATGAAAATTTGTCAGATCTTTCGTCGCATTACTGATCACCCTTACCGAACTTTTGGTTGGTCGGCCGGCAAAACACTCGAGGGCAGAGAAGTACTGCTCTGTGATAACATAATACATATGGTATCCCACAACAAGATGAGTGAAAAGGAGTGGGCAGTAAAGTCATCGGGTTCTAAGCCATTCTTCTTTCTTTCTTAATTTGCGTTGCTTGGCACAGTAGGTGTATCGTTGCCCCTTATGACCAGCCATATTTTCAGATTTTATTTTCAGTGCGACCTAGGGAAGACAACTTTTGTTTCACTAAATTCGCTACTTACCAGCTTGCAGACAGGGACCTTGAGCCCTCCCTATACAGGTTTTTAGTTTCTTTTTAAACTTGATATTATTTAATTTTTCCTGCATTGATTGTGTCGAGCAAAACAAAATACATACTGGAAAAATTGGCATACTTAAACAGCATAATCTCACGGAATGTCATGGAAGACGATGAACTGGTCCACGAAATCTCTAACACAGCCAGACATTAGCCAAGCTAAAGGCCTCAGTCTGGAATTTCCGAAGACTTTACCTTAACGTTCAACTTTGGATGTACAGTACGGTAGTCCCGGCAGTGCTACTTTACTGGGCAATGACATGGACAGTCTACAGCAACCAATCCTGGGAGCTGAGCCATTTCCACTTCAGCTCTCTCCGAGGGATACTGGCAGTTCGACCGTCGTTGCCGACGATGTCCATCGTCTGCTCCACAGTAAGGCGGAGCAGACACGGTGACTTGTGCGTGAATTGGTTCACAATGATAGTAGACTTGCGCAGTATCTACCGCACTCCCTCCTCCTCTCCCACCTGGACCCGGTGTCAAGACAGAGCCAAGAAGACCGGAGGCCGGTGAGGGCGCGGGTGGATGGCACGGTCGAGCCCGCACCTTGGCGTTCCACTCCACACCCCCTGGTCCACACGGAAAATAACCAGGTTTTTGATCAAGAACAACAATGGGGGGGGGGGCAGGGGTCCCAGTGTACGCGATGTCTACCGACAACGGGGTCTGCCGCCGCACTCCGAAATGTTGGCATTTGTTATGGTGCGTAAATCCGATAACGTCTGCCAGAATCCTATATGGCCCCACTGTTGAGCCAACGCATTTACCACCTGGCCCGTTAAGGGGAGACTTCGCCCATTATCACCCCCATCGTCATTGCCATACCCACCTCGCCGATGACGACTGCCACCCCCTCTGCTCACATCACCGGTGAGAACGGTCTTAACGCCCCGCCAATCATGGCCCTCACCCTTGCCATCACTACCTCCATTACCAGCAATGCGGACGCGCTCCCAACCCCTCCCGCAACTACCCGCACCGTCCAGGAGTATTGAGTAGACGCATAGACCTAAACAGCCCATTATGCCTTCATGAAAATCCGCGAGAAGACGTCGCAAGCCAAAACCTCACCACCACGCACCTCCTCACCATCAGACACATAAAAAGTGAACCCGTCCTTCATCACCCACTTCAGGCACGGAATAGGCATCTCTCAAGTAATTGGGAAGAGTGTTCTTAAGCTCCTACTTCATGCTGCCAGTGAAGGGCTATAAGGCCCTTTTGGGTGAATAACTGGCGTGTTGTGCAGGGGACAAGTCGTGTGTGGCTGCTTGGCCCTGTCATACACTGCGCCTAACTGTTGCCTTCTAATTTCCTCAGAAATTAACCGCTAGCTTGAGGTGGATCAGTCTGAACTGAGGTCTATATATGTCGACCGAAATTTGATGTGTGAGTACTTGGACTGCAGTCCGTCAGCTACAGCGAGATAACCGCGTAGCATTCATTGACTGCCGGCAGGCAGTGACAGTGCGTGACCGATCTCATGAAATGTTGGCCAAAATTCTGGAATGCGTTTCCGATTAGGAAGGATTTCTTAGGTGGGGTTGTTATACGGATTATCATGCAACATAACCCTATAACATTTCAAACTCGCCAGGATGTCAGCTTTTGATTGCACTTCTTTCTGACCTCCTACAAAAACCACGCTTGGTAAAAACTGACTACTTAAGGAGCATGCACTTTTCCTATTGATTTTCGATGGTCTTATAAATTGAAATATATTTTATAGAAAACATGCATAAGAACACGCTTTCGTTTGCTCATTTGGTAGGAAATCACATTGTCTTCATATTTTATGTCCGAAGAATGTGCATATTTGAGTTTTAAAAAAGTTTCTAATTATGAGATTTTTAAGACTTTGCGATGTCTTTGCATGAAATACCGCGCATGTCCGTTTTCTGATGCTCCTCATGAAGTGTACAACACAGTCCTCATCCATTGCAAAATTGTATGAACTCTATATGGTATCTTCTTAAAGAAATAGGGGAATATATGATTGTCCTTACGCGGAAAGCATGAACTTTGTAGACTGAAATAGCTAAACGCTGATGCAATGGCAGATCAGACTGAAAATTATTTGGGAATTGGGAAACTTTTTTAAAACTTAAATATGCAATTTCTTCGGACATAAAATATGAAGACAATGTGATTTCCTACCAAATGAGCAAACGAAAGCGTATTCTTATGCATGTTTTCTATAAAATATATTTCAATTTATAAGACCATCGAAAATCAATAGGAAAAGTGCATGCTCCTTAAGTAGTCAGTTTTTACCAAGCGTGGTCTTTGTAGGAGGTCAGAAAGAAGTGCATTCAAAAGCCGACATCCTGGCGAGTTTGAAATGTTATAGGGTTATGCTGCATGATAATCAGTATAACAACCCCACCTAAGAAATCCTTCCTAATCGGAAACGCATTCCAGAATTTTGGCCAACATTTCATGAGATCGGTCACGCACTGTAGTAGTATATCCTGGATTGCAGGGTACCATACTGCCTGCACAGGTACTAGCTAAGTGCCCAGACACGTATTTCGACGATATTCTGCCGCTGTCAGCAGTTAATTAATATTCCGCGGTTATCCCACCGTGGCTAATGGACATTGGCCCAAGTATTCATACATCACATTTCAGTCTACGCCTATAGACCTCAGTTCAAACTGATATACTCCAATTAAGTAGTTACTTTCTAAGGAAATTAAAAAAACAACAATTTCTAAACTGGAGTATCTACAAGAAAGCCCACGGGAAATGCTAAAGGACCCACTGATGAGCCGAACCCCTCGCAGCTGCTCCATGCAGCGGCAGGATATTCGCGAAAAATGTGTCTCGACTTTTAGCCAGTAGCTGTGCTGGTAGCATGATATCCTGCAATCCACTACTGCATCAGTTATTTGACAGTCTGGAACAGACGACTAGCTCACGCGAAAGAAAAGAAATATGGAGGACGACCCTAGGTTCTCCGCTCCACGGCACTTTAACGCATTCTTCACTGTAACAAATCCTACGGTTTTGAATCTAGCACTGAGTGATGGATGTTGTGGATTGGAACGTTATCAACTGACGAAAAAGCCCAGGACTTGCGGTCAGCCCTGTGTGGAGTGGCTAACTGATGGTCTGAGAGTCAGGCTCGATGGCTCCTCCTCTATGGCACCCTCATGGGTTTGAGATTCGAGCCGCCCATCTCCTCTGTGTGGAATCCTGCGGCGACCTGCGAGTGTGAGGTCCTGTGTGGTACATGCAGATGGGCCATTCAGCTGCCAGCCAGCTGTGCCCAAACCCTCCTTCATCACATGGCAGTGGACCGGTGCCGGAGAGAGAGGAGAGATTGAGTGAGGTGGAGAAGGGAGACTGCTTCGCACAGCAATCAGCGCATATTCCTCACAATGACGCACTTTTAAACCATCACGGTGAGTTAAAAGCTGGGAATATAAAAGGTATCCGGTTGGAGGGCTGACTCGGCTCCCCCAGGACGGCGAGA